GACTTATCTAAGAAAGTTTTGTATGAAATTTAAAATAAAATATTCTCTTTTTTTAAAATATTCATTTATTTACTTATTATGTATACAATATTCTGTCTGTGAGTATGCTTGCAGGCCAGAAGAGGGCACCAGACCTCTTTACAGATGGTTGTGAGGCACTATGTGGTTGCTGGGAATTGAACTCAGGCAATGCTCTTAACCTCTGAGCCATCTCTCCAGCCCTAAAATACTCTCTTTCATACAGGAGGGAAGTAATGGCAGACAAGTGCCTTCTGTAAGTCCCTTGAGGCACACAAGTGGCCAGCCCCTCCCCTCCAGGACCTCTAACTGCCAGGTTCCACCCAAGAATACTCTAACTACCCTAACTGCTGAACCCTTGTCCTATTTTACAGAGTAAAAAAAAATCCAATCTCTGGACATGAAATCCCACCAAGCGCCACCCTGGAAAGCATCACCCCGAAAAGTTCCACCCCTTCCCTGGAAACTCCATATAAGCCCTGTATCCAGTTCAGTTTCCTGCTGTTTCTCACGGGAGCAGAGGCAGCCAACCTCCTGGTTTTATCCCTCCCAATAAATCTCTTGTGTGGGGTTGTTGTGCCGTGTGACTTAGTGGGATTCCTTGGGCTCTCAGCCGCCAGGACACCTTTCCATCCGAGCTGTAACGCTGACAACATTCTGTCCAGGGTCTGGTGAGTGAAAGATTATGAAGCCATGAGGAGCATGCTCTTCGAGTCAGAAAAGCTTGGGTTAGTGAATAACTAATGTGACCTGCAGCGAGTGCCTAAATCCCCAAGCCCCATTTTCTTTATCTGTGAAACATTAAGTTATACCCATGTTGTAGGTAGCCTCTAGCATGGGACTCATCGGGTTCAGCTTTCCCTTTAGCCTTCTTCATAACACAGGTCACTGAAAAGAAATCCAGAGGTCCAAGGAATGGGGTTCACTGGCCCATCAAGCAGGGCCTTATAAGGTACCAGGGCTCTGCGGCGTTCCCTTTATCTAGGTTTTGTTCTTAGCCCCCAGTGTCTTAAAAGTTGATACTGTTAGAACTTGCATAGTGAAATGGTTTTCTATGCTAACAAAATACTCCGGAAATTTATGAACAGTTTGGAAAGAAAGCATGACCCCAGCATTAGGTACATTCCCATAGCAGGCTCTCCTTTCTCAACCTCTGAGTTCCACTTTCCTGAGACAAGGTCTCTCTGTGTAGACCAGGCTGGCCTGAAACTCATCCTGAGATCCACCTGCCTCTTAAGGGCATGCATCCCACTGCCCAGTGATTTGTTTATTGTGTAGACTGTTTTGTTTGCTTGAATGTATCTCTTGGTGCCCACAGTCAGAAGAGGGGTGTGTGGATCCCCTGGTACTCGAGTTACACATGGTTGCAAGTCACTGTGTGGGTGCTTGGAACTGAACCCAATTCTTCTCCAAGAGCAGCGAGTGCTCTTTCTATATATTCTTTCTTTTTTATTAGATTTTTAAATTGATTTCATTGAGCTCTACATTTTTCTCTGCTCCCACCCTGCCTCTGCCGCCGCTTCAACCCTCTCCCATGGTCCCCATGCTCCCCATTTACTCATGAGATCTTGTCTTTTTCTACTTCCCATGTAGATTAGATCCATGTATGTCTCTCTTAGGATTCTCATTGTTGTCTAAGTTCTCTGGGATTGTGAATTGTAGGCTGGTTTTCTTTATGTCTAAAAGCCATGTGTGAATGAGTACATATGATATTTGTCTTTCTGGGCTCTCTATATATTCTTAATGTTGGAGAAATACAACATATTCCCATCATAAATGCCACCTGCAAATTCTGTGAACTCATTCACTTTCTAAAATGAAATGAAATCATAAAAAAAAGGGTTAGGATTATTTTCTGAATTATGTTACATTTCACTTACTGAGGAAACACCTTCATTGACTTTTTTTTTTTTAATTTTGTGGTTGGGTGGTGGTGGCACCCTTTAATCCCAGCACTCGGGAGGCAGGGGCAGGTGGATCTCTGTGAGTTTGAGACTAGCCTGGTATACAGAGTGAGATCCAGGACAACCAGAGCTGTTATGCAGAGAAACCCTGCCTTTTGTTTTCTTTGCTTGTTTGTGATTAGATTTGGTCATTCCTCAAGTATGTGACATCTTCCCTAGGACTAATTTCTGTATATAGCTAACATTAACTGACTTAATTCGCATAATTAACGAGCCCGCTGCCATTTCTAGACATTTCATTTGTACTAGTGTTAATGACCAGTATCGTTCATTGGCCAGTGGCGCACATTCAATAAACACCAGTGAGGGGCTGGAGAGGTGGCTCAGCAGTCACTGAGAACACTGCCTAGTCCTCCAGAGGACTTAGCTTCCATGCTCATCACCCACAAGATAGCTAACAGCAGTCTGCAATTCTAGTTCCAGGAGATTCGAGGCCTTGCCCATCACTAGCACCAGGTACAGACAAAACACCCACACACATAAAATAAAAATAAATAACCCTCCCCAAAAAACAAGGATGAAAATGAATATTAGAAGAGCGCTAAAAAGGTAGAATTGAACTCTATTGTTTTCTTCATAAGCATACCATCTTCACAGTGTTATCAAGAAAAGGGCAAGGTTTTGCTAGGTAGGGGCTGGAGGAGACACTAAGAAGAAAGAAACAGAGGGTTTCCAAAGAGTTTAAAGGAAAAGTGCTGGGGTAGAGGTGGGGATGGGGACGATTGTTCAAGCCAGAGTCTGCAGACAAAACTATTCATTCGGGCTTGTCGCTGGAATCCTAGGGAGGAAAACGAAGTGGAAAAGGGTGGATTGATGTTAAGGAAGTAAATGACAGGATACAGTGTTGTGACAAAGACAAGATCAGAGTCTATCATAATACCTGAAAGTCTGTGCGTGCAATTCTTGGGGAAGGGCAAAATAAGTGGAGTTCACGTTCAGATGCCATAAGATGCTCGTTGAGACAAACGGGCTAAATAATGGTAAGCGTTGATTGATACAGCCGTCTGAGGTAAACGAGTCTGGATTAGCAGGAAGCTTGTCAGCCTTCTTTCTCAGAGTTAAGAGCTGGGGATAGGATAGTCCTGCTAAACTCGTGAATTTAGACGAGGGGAGAGAACAGGAGCAGGGTAAAGAAAATGGGATTAGAGATCAAAAGAGGGAGACATCTTGAAAACTGGGGGAAACAAGTCTGGTGGCGACAGACGCCTCCTAGAGGTCAAAGAGAATGGCAATCTCGTGTAATCCTCGGTCAAACGATTCAGAGCAAAGAGATGGGGACTGGGTAGCCACAGACAAGGCTAAGGAAGGGGAGGGAGGCAACTTCGTTAGTTCTTTTACGGAGCCTGCCTATGAGAGACAGGGAAGAGTAATTTAAAGCTGAAGGGGGAAAAATCCAATATTTTCGAGGGGAGTGGCTTTCTGTGCTCTTGAAGGGTGATGGTGGTGGTTTCTCTAAACCTTTATAAGTGACCACACTAAAATAAACAGCTCCGCGAAAGCCTTCTGCCTTTAAAAATTCTTTGGTGTAAATAGGGAGCTTTAATGTGGCGTTCATCGATTGGTAAATTAAAAAAAATCCGTCATTTCCGGTACTGCAGGATGTAAAGCATGGAGCCTACCTTCTGCTCTCCCATTGGCTATTGGAGGCAGCTCTGCTTTCAGCCAATCAAACTACTTTTCCTTCACCCCTCCCGACACATCTTATAAATTACCCCAAATTGCTTCACCTTTCCTTATCCTTTTCTTGAAAAAGCAGCAGTTATTGCTTATTCCGCCATAATGTCTGGCCGCGGTAAGCAAGGAGGCAAGGCCCGCGCCAAGGCCAAGTCGCGGTCGTCCCGCGCTGGCCTGCAGTTCCCGGTGGGGCGCGTGCACCGGCTGCTGCGCAAGGGCAACTACGCGGAGCGCGTGGGTGCGGGCGCGCCCGTGTACATGGCTGCCGTGCTGGAGTATCTGACGGCCGAGATCCTGGAGCTGGCGGGCAACGCGGCCCGCGACAACAAGAAGACGCGCATCATCCCGCGCCACTTGCAGCTGGCTGTGAGGAACGACGAGGAGCTCAACAAGCTGCTAGGAGGGGTCACCATCGCCCAGGGCGGCGTCCTGCCCAACATCCAGGCTGTTTTATTACCAAAGAAAACGGAGAGCCATAAGCCCGGCAAGAACAAATAATTCGTTCAATATCCCTTCCTACGCAAAAAGGCTCTTTTAAGAGCCACCAAAGAGTCAACTAAAAGAGCTGATCACGAACTAGCGCATTAGCTCATTTTAATGAAGAGTTGGTGGCTCTAAAAAGAGCCTTTTTTGTATTGACGTCAGTTTCACTTGCTCTTAGTCTTGTGGCTCTCGGTCTTCTTGGGCAGCAGCACGGCCTGGATGTTGGGCAGGACGCCGCCCTGCGCGATCGTCACTTTGCCCAGCAGCTTGTTGAGCTCCTCGTCGTTGCGGATGGCCAGCTGCAGGTGGCGCGGGATGATGCGCGTCTTCTTGTTGTCGCGGGCCGCGTTGCCCGCCAGCTCCAGGATCTCGGCCGTCAGGTACTCCAGCACGGCAGCCATGTACACGGGCGCGCCCGCACCCACGCGCTCCGCGTAGTTGCCCTTGCGCAGCAGCCGGTGCACGCGCCCCACCGGGAACTGCAGGCCGGCGCGGGACGACCGCGACTTGGCCTTGGCGCGGGCCTTGCCTCCTTGCTTACCGCGGCCAGACATGACTTTACAGTAAAACTAACTTTTACAGACTTTACTACAAAACTAGGTTTTGGCGTCTTAAGGCCTTTATACGCTTTCCTAGGGGTGGGGTCAGGAGCCAGCTTTTCATTGGTCGTAATTTGGTCGCCGAGAAGTCCAATGAAATCTGAAATTTAGAGTCTTTGTTACGTAGGCTTGTACTGAAAACACAAGCTTCATGTATGAACCAATGGAAATAAAAAGTATTTTGAGGCCTAATTTACATAAGGTGGTTATAAAAGGCTCAGGTCCTCGGGAGTGTAGCTTATTTTCTCACTTACTAGGCAACTCTCCTGTGTTTTGCAATCATGCCTGAGCCGGCTAAATCCGCCCCGGCTCCCAAGAAAGGTTCCAAGAAGGCAGTCACCAAGGCGCAAAAGAAAGACGGCAAGAAGCGCAAGCGCAGTCGCAAGGAGAGTTACTCCATCTACGTGTACAAAGTGTTGAAGCAGGTGCACCCCGACACTGGCATTTCGTCCAAGGCCATGGGCATCATGAACTCATTTGTCAATGACATCTTCGAACGCATCGCAGGCGAAGCTTCGCGCCTGGCGCATTACAACAAGCGCTCTACCATCACATCCCGGGAGATCCAGACGGCCGTGCGCCTGCTGCTGCCGGGGGAGCTGGCTAAACACGCCGTGTCGGAGGGCACCAAGGCGGTCACCAAGTACACCAGCGCCAAGTAGAGGATGAGGCACTCGCTGCCCCCTTTGCTCTTGCAGAACCACCCGCTTAAATCAGGAAAGAGCTTTGTCCACTCGCATTAGTTTCTAGTTCCTATTCCAAAGTTAAACTTTAAGGGTCTTGGAGAAGGTTCACTTCACAGTTTTAAGCATTTGTAATTGTGAGGTTCTCTGAGCTGGTTTGTAGTTGGCTGTTGAGCTCCTCGCACCCATTTAGCTCCTAGGAGTTACTTTTAAACTAGGGTAATGGAGGTTGGCCTCTCGGCTGGGTTTCTTCCGTGTTCTAGACTGTGTTCGGGCACTTTATCGACCTAAAGTGAGATGACTGACTTGATTACTTTGGCAGTTAGAGGGCTCCAGGACACACCTAAACCTGTGGCGACGAATGCTGTGTACCACTCAAAAACTGAAGTCGCTCGGTTCAGTTATATTATGTGTCCTGGGTACAGGCGGTTTCCGGTAGTTGAGGGCGGTGTCCTCGCCTGTAACTGATTAATTTACCAACACGAACGTGCGGCGTTGCTGCGAATTTGGTAGAAGACGGTTGGGGTTCTCACTCAAGCTTTAGATCCCTCCCTGTTCGTGGTTTGTGATTACCCCCTCCCTCACCCCTAATTTATGGTGTCCTTGCCCTTAACTGATTGGTTTACCAATGCGAACGTTCAGCGTTGCTGCGGCTTTGGTAGAAGTCTGTTGGGGTTCTCCCTCAAGCTTTAGATTCCTGTCCATGGCTTATGATTTTCTTTTTTTTTTTTCTCCCCCGTTTAATACTTTGCTGTGCTTTAGTACCGCCGCGGTGCCGGGTTGCCGCAAAGATTGCTCATTTCCGCTCTGGACCATGAAGCGATCTAATTCACCAATCCAAGGAATTAACTTCTTCCTGGTTGTCACGTCTACACTGTCTGAAGTTTGCTTTCCTGTTTACACTGTGGTCAAGCCGGCCAGATGTTCTGATAAGTCCAGAGCCCGCAAATGCCTGACATATTCCAAATGCTCAAGTATTTATTACTGAATTAATTTTCGTATCATTGCTTTTGTAATTGCTTCCGTGGCTTGGGAGGGGGACGCGGTGTCTGTTCGATGCAACAGAAGTGTTTGAAGATTCTTTCTCCCAATTCGTCCTTATAATTAATGCGGTGGCTGTTCTTGGTTGTCAACTTGACTGGAAATAACTGAAACGGAAGTGACACTACACCTGTGCGGGTTTTTTTTTTTTTTTCTGAAATAATTTGAAATGAGAAGAAGCACTTTTAGTCTGAATCTTTTGAGATGGGAAGACCCACCTTTAGTCTGGGTCACACCTTCTGCTGGCAGCCTGTATAAAGGACTAGAAAGAAGGAAGCTTGCTCTCTCTGGCTGGTCTCTTCCTTCATTGGCGTTAGAGCCTACTTCTGGATTCTGGCATATACTGAAGAGGAGCCATCCAGCCTGGTGGACCCAACAGCTACTGGATTCATGGGCCTTCTGTTGGGAGGCTGCCACTGTTTGTTGGACTAGATGGACCCCAGCCTGTAAGCCATATATTTATGAAAAAAGTACATATATATTTCACTCTGTAAGTTCTGTTCCTTGAGAACCCTGGTTAATACAATTACCTTAGTGTAATTGAGGCAGAGCCAGAGGTGTTAAGTCTGTATGTGTGTATGTGTGTGTGTGTGTTTGCCAGGGGCTGGCCATAGTAGGTTCCTTATTTTTTTTCCAATTTAGAGCAAACTCTTGGATTTTCATTAAATTGAGGGCACTGGGCTTTGGGGAAAAGCCTCCTTCTACCTCCGCCAACATCCCCATTCCTAATTCTTCTATTCCCTACTGAGATGAACTTTCAGTTTACACTCTTCCCTCTCTTTTACCTTTCAGAGGGTTCTGTAAGATGGGCCCCAGAGTTACTAGTGAAACCGATGGAAGCTAGGTGGTTGGCCCCAGGGCCATGCCCAACACTGTTCACTTTCGTCTCTGTCTGAAGTCAGCTGCCTGCTTGCTTTTGTGAAGTTTCCCCCCACAGTCTTGATTTTGCTGGTGAGGGCACTCGATGCTCTCTGATTGCTTTCTCGGTTCTGTGTTAGGCTAAGGGTTTCTGGAGCTGACTAAGGAGCTTTGTGAATCCAGAATGAGCTCCAGACATTGGCAGAGATTGACCAAGTCCTGCTTACCGCCTGATCATTTTTAAGTGCGCAGACGCTGTTATTATTAAATCATATTACCAATTAGTTTCAAATTTTTGTTGGATTGTTTTATGTGCAACCCATTTTCTCAAAAAATAAAATGAACAGATAGAACTGTTTGTGGTTGGCGCTGTGGAAAAGCTGGGGGTGCCTCGGGTTTGAAACATTTCTAAGCCATTAGCCAGGGCTTAGGGGTGTAGTTCAGAAGGTTTGCCCAAAATGCAGTGAGGCCCTAGTTTCAAAAACACACGCACAGGCACACACACACACACACACAGACACATTCATGCTCGTGCATGCACACACACCCTCCTCCAGCCAAACTTCTTCCTCAGAGGTGCATTGGGGTTGAAATACCCTACAACAAGGCCATTGCTGATGCCTAGTGGTTGAGAAACATATGACCATGTATAAAAGGTATTATAAACAGGATGCGTGAAATAAAACCCCTGTTAAAGTTTAGCTAAAACCTGCAGAATCCATGGATGGGATGTACTAGGGAGTATTCTATGCTCTTTGTATATACTGGCTTATTTTATCTTCACAGAGAACTTTAGGCAGCTGGTCCCCTTATCATCTCCCATTTTACAGCTATGGAAACAGAAGACCAGCGCTGCCATTCCTCACAAACTGTCGGAGGTCAAGTCTCCAGTTTAGTTTTATGGGACTTGAGAAAGTTGGACTACTCCCTAAAAATCTGGGCATTTGGGAAAACGCTCTGCATTTGGGAAGAGGGATTGAAATTTCCATACTTAATATTCAACTCCCCCATCCCCTTCCGAATGCATCCTGCATCGAAATCCAGAAGGGTGGTGGCTAACCTTGGGAATGGAATTGAGAGACTGACTTTCCATCCCGGAAGTCATAGCTCCAGCCAATTTAGCTTGTCCCGGCAGGAGGAAGGGGTTGTGGGGGCATTTGGGGGAAGGGTTTTACCAACTCACATCCTTTCACCAGCATAAGAGACCTAGTAGCTTGTTTGGGGCACCCCCAAGCCCCCGACCCTAGGCTCTTCTGATAGTCTTGCAGTAGACACAGATGAAGAAGGAAGTGGTAATAGAACCCGGTACTTTAACCCCGAGGGGAAATTAGTGCAGCGAGATTAACCTTGCATTAAACTCCTGTTCATTTGTTTACTTTAGGTTAATAATAATTGCTGCAAAAATAATTGTTGCTTCTACTTACTGATCACTTGACTGCTCACCAGGTTCTCTGCTTAGGGGTTTACACATGTCATGTCACTATTTATTATTATTATTATATAATGTTATTATTATTATTACTCTTCACAGTCACTGTTAAAGGTACATTTCAGTATCGTTGTCTTTATGCAATAGATCATGGGGAAAGCCTTAGAAAGCTTAAATGACTCGCCTGGGATCATTGAACAAGTTGTAGAACTACAGCCCAGCGCACACCTCTTTGTTATTGTGAGGTCTCACTGTGTAACCCAGGCTGGTACCGATTCTGCAGGGATCCCTCCTTCTCAGACATCCGAGTGCTGGGCTGCAGAAGGGAGCCACCACACCTGACTTTGACATATTAGAAATCTGTTCACCTTGGTGCACACATATCAGTATTTTTTTGACTACAATGTAATTATTAGTCCACTTACCTGTTAATGTACAATGGATTGCCCTAGTCCTTACCCCTCTCTTGTATTTTTTCACGCCTTTTCCTTCCCCTACTTTTTGAATGTTCTCCAGCTTTGGGCCATGATGATTCCATAGAGAAGCACAGTAAAAGTCCCCCCCCCCCCCCAGTTGAACAGGAGCACAGAGGGAGAGATGAAACACACACAAGTATTTATTCTGTGCAAGTGGGAGCAGGGCCACCTCTGCTCTCCTCTAGGCTCCAGTCTGGCTCTGTTCCTTCCGCTCCAAGTCCTCTCCAGCACAGATCTGACCCCTCCCTCTGCTCACTCACCTCCACTGCCCTGACCCCTCCCTCTGCTCACTCACCTCCACTGCCCTGACCCCTCCCTCTGCTCACTCACCTCCACTTCCCTGACCCCTCCCTCTGCTCACTCACCTCCACTGCCCTGACCCCTCCGTCTGCTCACTCACCTCCACTGCCCTGACCCCTCCCTCTGCTCACTCACCTCCACTGTCGTGACCCCTCCCTCTGCTCACTCACCTCCACTGCCCTGACCCTCACTCTACATGCCTGCCTCCACAGTCAGTTCACGGCCTCAGCTTACAGTGAAGCAGAAAACAGCAGACCACGTCAGCTTCACACGTGATCAGTGGATCCTGGGCCTTCAAGAGGAAGGCCATTATGCTACTGGGTCTTAGGACGTGAGAAGCACCCCACCCTGTTGCTGAGACCTTGCCTGTATGTCACTGTGTGACCATGTAGGTGACTTTGTGTAGGACACAGAGAGAAACCTTGCCTGTTGAGTGTGACTGTGTTTGCTTTCAATAAAGTTGCCCTGGGACAAAGGCACAAGCAAACAACAGAGCAAACAAACCAAAAAGAGGGCGATTGTCTGAGGTCATACTTCTCAGCAAAAAGGCCTGAGGTCTAGCTTTATTTGTGTTCCAGGAACTGACATTTATTCTTTGTTTATCTTCAGAAATTGACTTTTTTTTTTTTTTTTGGATTTTCGAGACAGGGTTTCTCCGTAGCTTTTTGGTTCCTGTCCTGGAACTAGCTCTTGTAGACCAGGCTGGCCTCGAACTCCCAGAGATCTGCCTGCCTCTGCCTCCCGAGTGCTGGGATTAAAGGCGTGCGCCACCACCGCCCGGCAGAAATTGACTTTTAACCAAGAGATTGTCCTTGTGATTAGGATGATTGAGAACATGTACTTTTATAAATATCTATTAACATTAAGAAAAGCCCTCACCCGGTGGTGGTGGTGCACACGCCTTTCATCCCAGCACTTGGGAGGCAGAGGCAGGTGGATCTCTGTAGGTTCGAGGCCAAACTGGTCTACAAAAGCTAGTTCCAGGAAACCCTGTCTCGAGAAACAAAAAAAGAAGACCCTCTAGGCCACTTCTTCCTCTCAGAGCTTCATTAGGTATAGCATCATCCATTCATTTACGAATCTTTGGAGTTGGGCCTGCTGGTATAAGCAAGCCTACAATTGGCTTCTCTGTGGGCTGAGGCAGGAGGATCACAAATTCAAAGCCTATCTGGAGAACTTAGTGAGCCCTTGTCCCAAAAAGCAAGAGGAAGGTTGAGTATATATCTTAGTGGTAGAATGCTTGCTTCTCATGTTTAAGATCCTAGATTCAGTCTCTGGGGACAAAGGAAAAAACAATTCCAAGCTAGTGAGGTGGTGCAAACCTTTAAAAATTCCAGCAGAGGAAAACAGAGGCAGGAGGATGTCTGGGTGTTTGAGTCCAGCTTGGCCTACACAGGGAGTTCCAGGACAATCAGGATTACATTGTCCCTGTCTCAAATAAACAAACAAATTCCTGTCTGTTAGATGGCAGACAATTGTCTAGGCAGTGACAATACAAGATTAAACAGAACAGAGTGGCTTCTGGCTCCCTAGACTTTTAGTGCCTAGAAAGAAAGATGTTAAATCAGTGATGATAATAAATAATGGAAAGTCTTAAGATAGGGGAAGTATGATGCAGGAAGTGTGTTGCGAGGTCTCCTGCTCACCACTGGAGGGTTGTCCTAGCTACTTTCCTATTGCTCTGGTGGTGGTTTGAATAGCAATGGCCCTCATAGGCTCACATATTTGAATGCTGTTCTTTAGGGAGTGTTACTCCTTGATGGGGATTAGGAGGTGTGGCCTTGTTGGAGGAAGTGTGTCACCGGGAGTGGGCTTTGAAGTTTCAAATGCTCAATCCAGGCTGCATGCTGCCTGTGAATCTGTATGTAGAACTCTCAGCTACTTCTCCAGCACCATATCTGCCTGTGTGCCACCATGCTCCCCTCCATGGTGATAATGGACTAAGCCTCTGAGCTGTAAGCCAGCCCCAGTCAAATCTTCCCTTTAGCTGTCGTGGCCATGGTGTCTTCACAGCAACAAACAGTGACTAAGACAGCAGGGAAGAGACACATGGCCAAACATCTTATAAGAGAGAGAGAGCCTCTAATTGGGGGCTGGCAACTTCAGGGAGAGTCCATGACCACCGTGGTGGGAGGCACGGCTGCAGATAGGCAGGCGAGAAAAGCCACCATGGTGACAAACCTCCACATGCCACGCGCCTTGATCCTTTTCAAACAGTTCCACCAACTAGGAACCAATTGTAGCATGATTAATAAAAACCCAGAGACAGATATTGGGGTTCAACCTGAAGGTCAGAAAAAGCAAAACCGCCAGCCACTGGCTCTTCCCTCTCTCTACCTCAGTTTGAAATGGCGGTCCTGCCTCCAGGAATCTCAGAATGAGACTGTGACTGAGAGCTGTCTCCTCCCGTTTTATATTCCTCTCTAAGGCTAGGGTTAAAGGTGTGCACCACTACTGCTCGGTTTCTATGGCAAACTAGTGTGGCTACTGGGATTAAAGGTGCATGTCACCACTTCCTGGTCTGTAAGGCTGACCAGTGTGGCTGTTTTACTCTCTGATCACCAGGCATGCTATATTAAAATACAAATGAAATATCACTACAACCAATCATTCAAATATATGAGCCTAGGGTGGCCATTTGCCATTAAAATCACCCCAGAGGAAGGCAAGGTAGAGGCGTGTAGGCCAAGAGCTGGGAAAGTTCAGAAAGAATGCTCCAGGCAGTAGGCAGCATGGGCAAAGGCCCAGGGGATTGGGAGAGAGGGTGATGAGGAGGAGAGGTGGAGCCGCAGTGTGCAGAGGGCAGTATAGACAGCCATGCCTGCAGATTAGATTCGAGATAGCTGACATGGAAGATCTCGGTGAGCTCAAGCTAACCTGACTGGGAACAGAGAGTAACTGCATGGCACTAGAAGCAGGGAACTCAGATTCTCAGAGGCCACATGATGTGTCCTGGCCCAGCGCTCTAAGATGCATGGCACCCTGGTCCTCTGACTGTTCATTACAATGGAACTTTCTTTAAAGCGGAAATGGTGCTTCAGGCTAATCGGGCTGGCAATAGACAGTATCCTGCAAGCTGCTTTCTTCTGATATTTTATTATTTTTTGTACATAGGTGTTTCTCCTGCATGTATG